AGGGACAAAGTTGAGAAGGGATGGGAACGTGGGTAGAATGGAACTAGGAACCACAGGGAGGAAGCAGGATAACTGTTGTTGCAGGGAGGGGATTGCAGTCATTGAGATGAAACGAAGTGTACGATTTGTTGAACGTAAAGCTGATGATCTTGTCTGTAAACCGTCACTCAATTCATGATGAAAAGTTAAAAATAAATCAACCAATTTTAAGGTTTGAAAAAATAAAAGAATGATCAAATGTGTTCCAATTAGGAAAACTTTCCAGTCTGCCTATACATGTTGCATAGAAAAATAAATAAGCTACATTTGCATGCAAAAAAAAGAAGACAGCTGTCTCTTTATTTTTGCATCCAGTAAGTCTTGTCCAGGCAAGATAGATGAGAGAATTTCATGTACACCTCTGGTATATGTATTTTCTTGTAGACATATTATATCCCCCCCCAAAAAAAAATCCATAAAAAATATATATATAAAGAGAAAACCTTTAGACCGTGCTGGATTCTGGTTTTGTTTTTTTCTGCATTTGGTGTGGCAGTCTGTGTCTTTTCCTTCGCAGTGCTGTACTGCCTTTGGGGTTTTTGGCAGCAGCCTCTGTGGGGGATGTTTCTTGTTTGTTAATAACTCATTCAGCTCTCATACCTTGTTTTCTGTCACCGATGAAAAAATGTGAGATAGCCTATGAAGCAGCAACAAAATATGAAAGCACAGAGTCTACTTTTTCACTAATCCTCCCAAGGACTTCATTACTTCTCCAGTCTGCTTCACTCTGACTTCCCCTCCACATTTCCAATTTCAGGTTGGATTTCAAGCCCTATAGATGCACCGAGGGGGTCCTGATGGTGCAGTGGTCAAGTGCTTAGTTGCTAACCAAAAGGTCTTCAGTTCAAACCCACCAGCCTCACCTTGGGAGAAAGACCTGGTGATCTGCACCTGGAAAGATTGCATGCTAGACAACCCTCTGGGGCAGTTCGACTCTGTCCAATAGGGTCTCTAAGAGTCAAAGTCCACTCATTAGCATATCACCATAAAATGTATCAGGTACAGATTTGCAACAGGGAAGTGCTGTTTCTGAGTTCCCATGATGCCTCCAGGGGTCAATTGCTGACATTAGCAACTATTTCTATTATAATCACATCAAACTGATCTTTATAGCTTCTTTTCAATTGAGATACAATTTACGTACCATAAAATTTACCCTTTCAAAGTGTACAATTCAGTAATGTACAAACAGTATCTTCACAAAGTCCAACCATGCCAACTATCTAATTTTAGAACCTTTTCATCACTCCAAAAAGAAATCCATTAGCAGTCACTCCCCCATTCTCCCTTCTCCTTTGCTCTGGCAAACTAGTCTGTTTTCCATCTCTGAGTTTGTTTATTTTAGGTATTTCATAGAAATGAAATCATTCAATAAGGGGTCTTTTGCTTCTGGCTTCTTTCGCTTCGCATAATGTTTTCAAGGTTCGTCCATATTGTAGCATGAACCAGCACTTCATTCCTTTTCTATAACTGAAAAAGAGTCCACTGGATGGCTATACTAGAGCTTCTTTGATTTTGATGCAAGATTAGCCTATAAACTCATTAACTGAGCTGCAGGCTCTGAAGGCTGACACTCTCTTGCACAACTCTTCTAAACTTCAGTCCCAAACCATATCACAGAGACTTCTCTCTCCAGCCCAAGAGGCCCTCTGGAATAGGAGGAGCACAAGACCACTCTGTGTTTGACTTTGTGACAGAGATCCATCCTGGTATCCTCTGAGTTCCCCCACCATGCCCACCCCCTGCACTAAGGAGCTCCCACAGGTAAACTCATTATAATCAGGAATTCCTTCCAGGATCTTCTTTTTCAATTTAGAAAGTCTTGGAAACCCTATGGGGCAAAAAGTTCGCCTCTACTCTACAAGATCACTATGAGTTGAACTCACCTGGCAGTGTCTTTGATTTAGCATATAGCTTCTCCTTTCCTTCCTCCCATTCAAGTCTGTTGCTATTCAATTGTTGTTGTTGTTGTTAAGTGCCATTGAGTCGGTTTCGACCCATAGCGACCCTGAATAGGGTTTCCGAGGCTGTAAATCTTTACGGGAGCAGATCGCCTCATCTTTCTCCCGCGGAGCAGCTGGTAGTTTTGAACTGCGGACCTTCCGGTTCACAGCCCGATTCGTAACCACTATGCTACCAGAGCTCAATTAGTGGCTCCTTTTGAGTCCTGGTGTGGCAGTGTAGGATAAGCACTGGACTGCTAGCTACAAGGTCAGTGGGTCAAACCCATATGAGTTGAACCAAATCTATGGCACTTAACAAGGAGTCAGAAGGCATGCTGGAGGCACTATAAGATAAGAACTGGACTGCTAACCAAAAGATTGGTGGTTCAAGCCCACAAAACCCTCTGCAGCAGAAAGATGGGGCTTTCTGCTCCCATGAAGATTTACAGCCCTCGGAAAATCTATACAGGATCCCTGAGTCAGAACCAACGCAATGGCTCCCAACAATAGCAACAGAGAATTGACTTCTAGAGTTAGATGCTGGGATTGCAAGAGAAAGAACCTTGGATTGTGCATTCCAGGGGAGTCCTGGTGTGGTGCTGTGGGTTAATGCACCAGACTGCAAAGTCGTTTGAACTGCAAGGTTGGCGGTTCAAGATCACCAGCTGCTCCTCGGAAACCCTATGCAGGGTTGCTATGAGTCGGAACTGACTCCACGGCACATAATCAACCAACCAACCAAGCACTTTGGTAAGAGGAAGGAGCTCTGGTAGTGCAGTGGGTTAAGTATTAGTCTGCTAAGCAAAGGGTTGGTGGTTTGAACCCATCATTTGCACCATAGGAGCAAGACGAGGCAGTCAGCTCCCATAAAGATTTCAGCCTTGGAAACCCTATGTAGCAGCTCTACTTTGACCTACAAGGTCGTTTGCTCGCTATGAGTTGGAATCGATTCAATGACAGTGAGTTTGGTTTGGGGTTAAGCACTTTGTTTAAAAGAGGGTAGTTTCTATAATGTCAGCTGACACTTGATTTAGTGCCCAGGAATCCCTCTGCTGCTACTGCTCTGGTGAGACCTTAGCCAAAGCCAAGTGGAGGCGAACCTGTGAGGTCTGGGAAGGCAGATGTTATTTTTCATGTCCATGGAGGGAAGTGCCTCGGCCTCCCATCAAAATGGACAGAGGGTGTTCTCCAAACATAGAAAGGGATTCAGATACTGGCTGACCAAAAAGAATGACAAAAGTCCCTACAGTCAATAAAAGTTTCTTTATTTCAGATTTCTCCCCAAGAATAGCAGTGCTGACAAGCAATGCCTTTGATCTGGCAGGGAGATGCTCAAAATAGACAAAAGTGGCAAAAGCTCAGGTTGCTGTGGGAGGTGCACTGAGCACCTCCAAGAACTCAGACTGGCAGCCCCCTCTTTTTCTCCTCATCTGAGACACAGCATGGCCAAGAATCATGGAGCAGAGGGCGACTCCCTGAGAAAGTCCCAGGAAGGCGGGCCGCCCCCAGCTCAGCACTGTCGCTGCTGGAAGAGCAGGCCCACCTTCTTGTGGGGAACCAGGACAATCCGGGCTACACTCTTCAATTCCCCTGTCTCAGGGGCCAGCACCACCTTGTACTGCTGGATCAGCTGGGAGGGAAGAAGCACAGAGGGGCAGTTAGCCCATGATCTCTACCCACTGCCCTCCTGGACACGTGACTGCCCTGCTGTCTTCTTCACCCTTCCCTGGCCCATCTACCCTTCCAGTCTGTCCCTCACTCACTCTTGTCAGCAGCAGGTACATCTCCAGTTCAGCTATTCTGCGACCCAGGCAAGCCCGGACCCCATACCCAAAGGGCACAGAGCCAAAAGGGTGGAGGGCCCCAAGGGCATTAGGCTGGCTCTTCCTCAACCAGCGGCGGGGCTGGAAGCTCTCAGGCTCAGGGAAGATGCTGGGGTCCCGGGACACCACATAATGGCAGAGCACGAACTGGGTCTGCAGTGGAAGAATGGGAAGCTCATTGCTTCAGAATTGCAGGGCACACCCAGGAACCCAGGCTCTTTAACCCCACTCACATTCTTGGGGAAGAGGAAGCCACCAACTTCAATTTCCTTTTCTACAATGATCCGGGAGTTTGTGGGGACCACAGGATAAAGGCTGCGGGGAAAAGGAGTCCAAGGTCCGTTTCTGGATCCAAGGAAAGGCAGAGTACTGCTACCTCTTCAGTCCCCAGACTCACTCTTGGCCCTGACCCCAGCCTCCATCCCTCATTTCCATTTGAGAATACCCAATAAGGGTCAGAGAACCCAATAAGCAAGGTACCCATTGTATCCTCCCACCAATTTGCAGTGTACAATGTCACCTGTCCCCCACAGTCAAAGATGTGATGACACCCATATGAAACTGCTCACCACCAAATTAGCAAGTGAACACAATTGTTCAGTACAAGCCAGTGCATACTGTGTTTACTGATTGATCCCCCACACCCCTGCCATCTCTGATTCCTCCCACACACAGACCCTGAGTCCCTGAGAACAGCATCCTACCGTAGGGTCTCCTTAATCACAGCCTTGAGCAAGGACATATGGGCAATGTCTTTATACTGGGGCACCTGCCCATCTGGCAACACACCCATCACCTCTTCATGCAAGGCCTCCTGGACCTCTGGGTTCTTTGTCAGATGGTAGAGGGCCCACGTCAGTGTGTTCGATGTCTGGGAGGTAGAGTGAGAGATAACATGAGGGACATTTCTAGGAAAGAAGTTAGCTGGGTAATTGGAGGGTTGTGAGTGGGTGAATACCAAATGCAAAAACAAATGTGCCAGAAGCATGGAAGAAAAAGACAAGAGGGTTCGTGGGACTTCCACACTAAACATGAGTCCACAGAGGAATGAGAACCAAGATGGCGGAGAACAGCACGTTGGCAACAACAGGAGACTGTAATAAAGGGAATCCCAATGAGACTGAAGGACTGAAACCAGGTCAGAGAAAGAAGGTGCTCATGGACAAGCTCCACTCTGCCCAGACTCAAACGAGGAGAAATGGTCTTAAGTTACAGCAACAGACAGTTGAATTAGATATGAGATGCAACTTCTTGGCTATCAGAGAGAGCAAGGAGGATACAGGAAGTGATGGAATACCCTTGAGAGCCATCCTCTGCCTGTCTCAGTTGGACGGAATGACCTCTCTATTTTCTTTCTAGCTCTATGCCCATGTTACAAAACAAGAAGCAAGTACCTGCAGGGACGAAGGTCAGGATCAGGTGGGGGATATTAGGGGGTTAGTTCAGGAGAGGAGCAGGGACAGTCTTCTTGCTGGCCCCCCTCACGCACCGTGTCCACTCCAGCCATGAGCAGCTCAGGCAGGCTGCCCAGGACCTCATGAGGACTGAGCTGTCCACTGGTCAGCAGGAAGTGCAGATAGCCAGATATCTGGACCTCATCTGGCTTCCCTGCCTGCACCTGAGCCTCCACCTCCTTGAATTTCTGCTCAATCAACTTCTTCCCTGCAGGGACAATACATGATCGGGGAGGACCAGGTGATAAGTCATGACCTCCAGGGTCAAAAATCCAGTCTTACATCTGATATGGAGTATGTGGGAGAAGGTACTAAGGGTGGCTGCTACTGCTCAAATGCTGGGACCCATCCACAACTCCCTTTTCAGGCTTCACTCTGGGATTCCTCACCAAAAGAGAAGATGGTGTTCCAGCCGTCCAGGTATCGATTCCAGAAGGGCAGAAAGGGACGGGTCCATTTAGGGAGGAAGGTGGCATAGAGAGAGTTCTGGAACATGCGCCCAACAGAGTTGATGAAGGCTGAGGTGTCCTCAGGGATGGATGGCTCCAGGCAGCCAATACGCTTTTCAAACAGGATGTAGCAAATAGCTGGGCAGCAGCAAGGGGCCAGGGTGGGACACAGAGGTCACCAGAGGAAGCCGTGCCATGGTACACAGGATCCAGGGGGCCTTGAGGAGGGGGAACAATCTACCCTGTTCCATTCCCACCCCCAGCAGGTCTTCCCAGCAGGGTACCTTCCAAGGCAAAGTGGTAGAAGAGGTGAGCCACATCTGGCACGTGGTCCCCTGATGTACTCCCTGCTCGAACATGGTTCAGCCGAACCAGGAAGTCATCTATCACCTCGTTCAGAACATTGGTATAGAGCGCAGCCTCTGTTGGCTTCAGGATCCGCTGATTTAGAGCCTGCCGCAGCTCGTACCACTGATGCCCTTCCCTGTGAAGCAACGGAAGAAGCAGCATAAATGTTAAGTATCAAACTAAACTGTGCTTTGCACCCTACAGCTTAGAAAAATCTCAGACTCCTAGGATTCAGCATGATAGGCCCACCAAACTTCAGAATACCACTAAGCACAGAGTGGGCATCTAGAATCAGACTGCCTAGGGTTAAACCTAGATCTGGGGATTACTAATTGGGTGACCTTAGACAAAGGACTTAAACTCCTTTGTGACTCAGTTTCCCCATCTGTAAGATGAAAATAATAAGAGTGCCTGTCTTGTAGAGTTGTTCGGATGATTAATTAAAGTGCTTAAATCAGTGCCTTGTTGTTGTTGTTATGTGCCATGGAGTCGGTTCCGACTCATAGTGACCCCACGCACAGCAGAACGAAACAATGTCCGATTCTGGGCCAACCTCACTACCACTGCCACACTTGATGCCATCAATGATGCCACCTGGCCGATCCATCTTGTTGGGGGTCTTTCTCTTTTTCTCTGACCCTCCATCTTACCGAGCATGACATCCTTCTCCTCCTGACAATATGTCCAAAGTATGAGAGACGAAGCTTAGCCATCTTGGCCTCCAAGGGGCACTCTGGCTGCACTTCTTCCAAAACAGATCTATTGGTTCTTTTGGGCAGTCCATGGCACTTTCAGCATTCTCCTCCAACACCACAATTCAAAGGCATCAATTCTTCTACGATCTTCCTTATTCACTGTCCAGCTTTCACATCCATATGAGGTTATTGAAAATACCATGGCTTGGGTCAGGCGCACCTTAGTCCTCAAGGTGACATCTTTGCTCTTCAACACTTTAACAAGTTCCTGTGCAGCAGATTTGCCTAATGCAATATGTCCTCTGATCTCTTGACTGCTGCTTCCACGAATGTTGATAGTTGACCCAAGAAGAATGAAGTCCTTGACAACTTCAATCTTTTCTCCGTTGATAAGAATGTTGTTTATTGGTCCAGTGGTGAGGATTTTTGTTTTCTTGACATTGAGATGCAACCCATACTGAAGGCTGTGCTCTTTGATCTCCATCAGTAAATGTTTCAAATCCTCTTCACTTTCAGCAAGCAAGGTTGTATCATCTGCATATCGCAGGTTGTTAATGAGTCTTCCTCCAATTCTGATGCCACGTTTTTCTTCATAGAACCCAGCTTCTCAGATTATTTGCTCAGCATACAGGTTGAATAAGTATGGTGAAAGAACACAACCTTGTCGCACACCTTTACCAATTTTAAAACATTCAGTGGTCCCATGCTCTGTTCTAACAACTGCTTCTTGGTCTAGGTACAGATTTCTCAGAAGTACAATTAAGTGTTCTAGAATACTTCTCAATGTTGTCCATAGCTTGTCATGATCCACACAATCGAAAGCCTTTGCATAATCAATAAAGCATAGGTAAACATCTTTCTGATATTCTCTGCTTTCAGCCAAGATTCATCGGATATCAGCAATGATATCTCTCATTCCACGGCCTCTTCTGAATCTAGCTTGAAACTCTGGAAGTTCTCTGTCAATATATCTTTACGGGAGCAGAAAGCCTCATCTTTCTCCCGCAGAACAGCTGGAAGTTTCGAACTACTGGCCTTGAGGTTTGCAGCCCAATTCGTAACCACTACGCTACCAGAGCTGGTACATGGTAAATGCTTAATGAATGCTGACTATGATTATCTGGAATGATACAACTCCGGAATCTTCCATATGTGTAATAAGGGGGAGCAGCCATGGATTCATTCCCTCTGTGTGGAAGCCAAAGAATTAAGGAGGAATAAATTCAGACTCCTAGGGTGCTCAGCTTCTGGGCCTTCAGACTGCGTAGTTCAGCAGGTCAGGGGACAGGCAACAGGCCCCTGAGGCCTCTTCTAACAACCGTCTAGTAGACATTGGCACCCACCCTAACTGGCAGAGATGCTCACATGAGTTGGAACATGCTTGTCATATTATGGCTTGACATTCAGGGGCTGCCCCTACCCTCAGCTATTACCCTTTCCTAAGCAAGCTGGTTATATGTTTTATTTTTAAGCTAATTGAAGAATAAAAAGTACAGTATGGTCCAATTCTAAGGAAGAAAGAGAGGGAAACCCCATATATTCATATGGAAATGTGTATGTATCTAAATAAATGTGGGAAGACTGTACATTAAGCTGTTAGCATTGTTTGCTTAAAAGGAAGGGACTAGAGTAGAGGGAAAGGGAAACTTAATATTTTGTTTATTATTGGAAATTTTACATTAAGCACATATAGATTTTCCGATAAAGTATTTTATAGAAAAACATTTTAAAAGTCAATTCGTTTTCATATTTTTGGAAAACTATGTATTAAAATGAACTGTATATACTGGGAGCTTTATTTTTATCATGTTGGGTTGTTGTTGCTGTTGTTATTAAGTGCCGTCAAGTTAATTCCAACCTATAGTGGTCCTGCATAGGGTTCCCAAGGAGCAGCTGGTGAGTTTGAACCACTAACCTTATAGTTCAAACCGACTTTGCAGTCTAGTGCATTAACCCACGATGCCACATCAGTACGCCTATCATGTTGGGCAAAGACTGCAAAAAGAGAAACTAAAAGTTGCTGAAAAAGAAATGAAAAGAAGAGCAGACCCCTTTAGTGGAAATTCAGGTTGTAGTTGTTTCTGTGAAAGTGAAACTCCCTGGGCAGCAGGAATCAGATTTACAGATTTAAATGAGAGTGTTTTTTGTAGCTGTTGAAATACTTCAGGGGGGCGGAGAGATGTTTCATAAGATGTGATTTTAAAAATAGAGGTTTGAAAACTAAAAAGAAAATCTTATCATGAGCTAGCAAATGAATTTTTTAAAAATAAATGCACATGGCATAATATATTTAGGAAATTGGTTTTACAGGGAAAAGTTTAAATAAGTCACAAACAGTACACAAAATGTTTAGTTCTGATTCTAAATCAGAGATAGTTGGGCCTGGTGACAACCTGGGACACAAATTTGTCCTCACAGTCAGACATCAAGGTTAAGAGGGTTTGAAGAACAGATATTTTCTCCAATACCTTCCACTACAATGCCTAGGAATTGTTGTTTATATACTGAAACTGTCCATCTGTGAGTAGACCAAGGAAAAGAAAGAAAAGCATGCAACAAGGAAAAGAATGTCTAAGCATCAAAGGCCGATGAAATCAATCCTCTATCCAGTTCCTTTTCTTTTCCAAAGTGTCAAAACAATCTTGAATTCTGGAATGAGAAAGGTCTATTTTAACACTTACTAGTTGTATCACCTTCTGAAAAAGTGGTGTAAAACCTCTCAAGGCCTCAATTTCTTCATCTCTGTTGTTAGGTGCCATCGAGTCGGTTCCAACTCCTAGCAACTCTGTTTACAACAGAATGGAATACTGCCAAGTCCTAGGCCATCCTCACAATCTTTGCTGTTTCAGCTTCCTGTTGCAGTCAGTATGTCAATTCATCTTGTTAAGGAGTCTTCTCTTTCACGGACCCTTTACTTTACCAAACATGATAGCCTTCACTTTTTTCTCCTGATAGTATGTCCAGAGTAGGTGAGACAAAGTCTCACCACCCTTGGTTCTATGGAGAATTCTGGCTGTATTTCTTCCAAGATAACATTTGTTTGCTTTTCAGGCAGTCTATGGTGTGTGTATTCAATGTTTTTGGCCAACACCATAATTCAAAGACATCAATTCTTCTTCTGTCTTCTATATTCATTGTTCAGCTTTCACATGCATATGAAGCCATCAGATGAACCTTAGTCCTCAAAGTGAGATTTTTGCTTTTTAACATTTTATAAAGAGGTCTTTAGCAGCAGACTTGCCCAAATGCAATACTTCATTTGATTTCTTGACTACTGTTTCCATGAGCGTTGATTATAGATCCAAGTAAAATTAAATCCTTGACAACTTCACTCTTTTCTCCATTTATCATATTGCTTATTGTCCCAGTTATGAGGATTTATTTTATGTTTCTTTATTTCAAGTCTTCTTTGTTTTCAGCAAGCAAGGTTGTGCATAATTATCATTGTTGTTAAGTGCCTTAATTTGGTTCCAACCCATAGTGACCCTGTACAGGGTTTCTAAGGAGCGACTGGTGAGTTTGAATCGCTGACCTTGCAGTTCAAACTGACCCTGTGGTCCAGTGCATTATCCCACATTGCCACATCAGGACTCCATCTGCATAATGCAGGTTGTTAAATGAGTCTTCCTCCAATCATGATACCATTCTTCTTCATATTTTTAGTCTACTTTCTTAGATTATTTGCTTAGCATATAGATTCGGTAAGTATGGTGAAAGGATACAACTCTAGCACATACCTTTTCTGATATTAAATCATGCAATATCTTCTTGCTCTGTTCAAATGACTGCCCCTTGGTCTAGGTCCAGGTTCTGCAGGAGTACAGTGAAGTGTCCTAGAATTTCCATTCTTCACAATGTGATCCATAATTTATTATGATCCACACAGTCAAATGCCTTTGCATAACCAATAAAACACAGATAAACATCTTTCTGGTATTTTCTGCTTTCAGCCAAGATCCATTTGACATTAACAATGACATCTGTCATTTCACATCTTCTTCTGAATTGGGCTTAGACTTCTGATGGGTCCTTATTGATGCACCGCTGTAACAGTTTTTAAATTATCTTCAGAAAATTTTACTTATATGTGTGTAATATTAATGATATTGTTTGATCATTTCCACATTCTGTCAGACCACCTTTCTTTGGAATGGGCAGAAACATGTATTTCTTCCAATTAGTTGGCCAAGTCATTATTGTCTTCCAAATTTCTCGGCATAGAGAAGTGAGCACCTCCAGCATCACATCCACTTGTTGAATCCACTGACATTGCTTCAGCTTTGCTTTTGCTTCATTGCTGGAGCGTTGGTTTTTGCCAATGCAGTCAGGGTAGCTTGGACTTCTTCCTTCAATCCTGTCAGTTCTTGGTCAGATACTATCCCCTGGAGTGGCTGAGTGTCAAAGAATTCTTTCTGGTACAGTGATTGTGTGTTCTTTGATCTTCTTTTGCTACTTCCTGCATCATTTAATATTTCACCCACAGAATCCTTTAGTGCTGCAGCCTGAGACTTGACTTTTTTATTCAGTTCTTGCAGCTTGATAAATGTTGAGTGTGTTCTTCTTTGGCTTTCGAATGCCAACTCTTTGCACATTTCATTATAACACATTACTTTGTTTTCTTGAGCCACTCTTTGAAATCTTCTGTTCAACTCTTTTACTTCATCAATTCTTTGATTCACTTTAGCTACTGTATGTTCAAGAGAAGGTTTCAGAGTCTCTTCTGTCATCCATTTTGGTATTTTCTTTCTTTTCTGTCTTTTTAATGACCTTTTGCTCTTTTTGTGTATTATGTCCTTGATGCATCCCACAAAGTGGTCTTTGGTCATTAATGCTCAGTATGCAGAATTTGTTCTGGAGATGGTCTATAACTTCAAGGCTGCACTTTAGCTCTTGTGAACTTGTTTTAATTTTCATCAGCTTCTACTGCATATGAGCAATTGATGGTTTGTTCTGTAGTGACTTTGGCTTTGTTCTGATTAATGATAATGAGCTTCCCCATCATTACTTTCCACAGATACAGTCCATTTGATTCCTGTATATTATATCCAGTGACGTCCACGTGTATAACTGCCATTTAAGTTGTTTAAAAAAGGTATTTGCAATGAATAAGTAAGTCATTAGTCTTGCAAAATTCTATCATGTGATCTTCAGTGTAGTTTCTATCATCGAGGTAGTATTTTCCAGCAACTGATCCTTCTTCTTGGTTTCCAACTTTAGTATTCCAATCACCAGTAATTACCAGTCCATCTTGATTGCATGATTGATCACTTTCAGACTGCAGAGATTAATAAAATCTTTGATTTCTTCATCTATGGCATTAGTGATTAGCATGTAAATTTGAATAATAGTTATATTAATTGGTCTTCCTTGTACTTGTATGGATATTATCCTGCCATTAGAAATGCTCTACTTCAGGATAAACCTTGAACTATTCCTTTTGATAATGAGTGTAACGTCATTCCTCTTCAAATTGTCATCACTGGTATCATAAAACACACACACTGCAATGGGGGTGACTCTAACTTACAGTGGTCCTAAAGGACAGAGTACAACTGCTCTGTAGGGTGTTCTAGACTGTAAATCTTCATGGGAGTAGACAGCCTCATCTTTCTCCCACTGACCAGCAGGTGGGTTTGAACCACCAGCCATGTGGTTAGCAGCCTAATGCTTAGCCCACTGTACCACTATGGCTTATTATAGCAGAACATGCACCTATCTAATTCAAAATGGCCAATACCAGTCCATTTCAGCTCACTAACACATAGGATACTGTTCTTTCTGTGTTCCATTTCATTTTTGATTACTTCTAATTTTCTTAGATTCATACTTTGCACATTCCACATTTAAATTATGAATGGATGTTTGCAGCTATTTCTTCTCATGTGAGTTGTGCCACGTCAAGTGAAGACCCTGAAAGTTTTACTTTAAGGAGGCAGTTCTTTCCACTCCTATTTTAAGTGTTTTCCAACCTCAGGGGCTCATCTTCTGCTATTCTTGAGATTTTCACTGGCCAATTTTTTCAGAAGTAGATCGCTAGGTTCTTCTTCCTAGTCTGTCTCAGCCTGGAAACTGCTGAAACCTATCCATCATGGGTAACCCAGCTGGTACTTGAAATACTGGTGGCATGGCTTCCTGAATCGCAGCAACATGTAAGCATCATCGTACAACAAACTGACAGATGAATGGTGGGGGGATAATAAAACTATTTATTTCATGGGCTCAATGTCAGGATAAAATGATATAATAAATGTGAAGAGCTTAACCTGATACCTGGCATGCCATAAACACAGTTAGTATCACGGTCCCTGCTACTCCTACCAGCAGGATCAATTTCAACCCCTTAACCAAGCAGCTAAAACATGGCAGGGAGGGCAAGCAATTCATTGTTTTTGTAGCTCTACAATACGCTAAGGAGCTTTGGTGGTATAGTAGATCAAGTATTGGGCTGCTAACCATAAGGTCAGTGGTTCAAATCCACCAGCCACTCTGTGGGAGAAAGATGAAGCTATCTGTCCTGTAAAGACAGACAGTCTCAGAAACCCTAAGGAGTAGGCCTACTCTACCCTAGAGGGTTGCTATAAGTTGGAATCAACCCCATGGCAGTGACTTTGGTTTGGTATGCTGTACAAAAAGGAGCCAGTAATGCAAGTGTTTTTCAAACAGTTCATAGAAAAATTCCATTATCTTCTATTTTCATTTTCCACAAACATTTTGAAGTCCCTCATATACCCAACTGCAATCTATTGCACTGATGATTTATTTTCAATGATCTATGTCAAAGGCATATGAGTAAAGAACATACTGAGTCCATCCATCATTCAATTTGTTCATGGACAAAAATTCCTAGGAATACTTTCAAGGCTGAAACCTACATCCGTCTCTGTTATTTGGTGAGCATTCATGAACTCAATATCAATAATAATACATAATTTGAGCAATTTTTGAAAAAATGAAATTGAGCTCTCCCAACTAATAAGCATTATGATTTGAGTTGATATATTACCAACCATAATGTTGAATATTCGAACTAGAAAGAACCTTATATACGCTTTGGAAATACTCCAGTCCTATCTTTCCATTTGACAGATGAGAAACATAAATCCAAAAAAGGAGAAGTGTTCATTTGTCCAAGGTCACACAGTATATTAGTGGCAGAGTCTCTGTACAGTCTCTGGACTTCAGCACTACTAACCATTGCTTTCTAGACTGAGATTCAGGCCCAGAGGATGCTCTGCTCATTATCCAATTGGCTGCCCAGCGCCCTTGAGCTTGCCCCTCCGGATCCCTGCTCCTGTCCCTCTAGGCCCCAGCTCACATGGTGAAAGGCCCATAGGACAGGCCCTGCTGGTCCCGGTGCTCCTTCCATAGTGCCATGTCACTCCGTACTGGGTATTTGTCCTCCTGCCGCATCACTTGCTCCAGGAGTGGGGCACTGGCCAGGTTCACATGTAATTGAGGTCCTAGATAGGTTATCCACATTGGCCCATACTTGGCCTTGTACAGCATCTGTGGGGTTCAATCAAAACTGAATAACTGGGACTCAAACAGGCAGCTACCTTGGGTAGAGGAAATCACAGAGAAGTATTTTGGGTGGTAAAAGCACATTGTATGGGAGGTGAGCACTGGGGTGGGCTGTGATTCCAAACAAACAGGGAATATCTGATAGACCTGGGGGAAGTGAGGTTCTTGGAGAAGTGAGATTTTGAAAATGTGATAAGCTATAGTATACTGAGGGTTAGATATTTGGGATCCAAGGTCTTAGAGATATAGGTTTTTAGTGAACTTTGGTAGAATGGCTTTGCTCCCTTTCACTTTTTAGCATTTAAATCTACACCAGAGTGTAAACTAAAGCTAGCTTATCAATGAGAGAGAAAAGTCTTATGTAATCAATAAAATAAATTATGTTTAGAAACTCCAGCAAAACAAGCTGAATGGGAAAGTCGGGGTCTAAATATGAAGTAAACTTCATGGTAGGTTTTAAACATATCATGCTTTTGATTATCTAAAAATGACAGTGATTCCTGAAAGGAGATAAGCATACTAATAAATTTCTGGTGGGACTCTATATGGAGAACAATGCGTACATCTTTGTTAAAATGACAAATGAGTTCATAAACAAAGTATGGTAATCCAAGTAATTCATTTGTCATTTTAAAAAAAGATTAATAAATTGTCCTCCATATAGGCTTGTGTCAAACTAAGACCACCTGGAGCCCAGGTGCTCACTACTTCACTGATCCAAGTTGTTAGTTGCCAATCAATTGATTCCAACTCATGGCAACCCCTTGTGTGCAGAACAGAACTGCTCCAAAGTGTTTTCAAGGCTGTGTCTTCCAAGGTACCTGGCAGTGGCTTCAAATAGTCAACCTTTTAGCAAGTAGTCAAGTGTTTAACCATTTGTACATCCAAACTTAGGCCCTTTAAAAACCATGTGCTCTTTAAAACAACAGCTATACAATAACCTTGAGTTTCTCAACTGAGGCACTGTTGACCTTTGGGCTGGATAATTCACTATTGTGGGCAGCTGTCCTTTCATTGTACAAAGTTTAGCAGCATCTATTGTTGTAGACTGTGCAGACCCGGTGAGGAGTTCGAGGCCCTGTGGGCCCAAGAGTTGCAGACCATACAGGCCGCAGGCTCTGAGGAACAGACTCTAGCCACCTAGCAGTCATAGCAAACTGTTTTTCATCTTAGCATTCAGTTATGTTTGTTATTAATTTCATACATGAGCCCTTAATATCCACAGATAAATGTAATATTTTCCTAAAGCCGAGACTGTAAAGGTTTCAAAGGTAAAGCTTTTCTCCAAAGCACTGACTAAAAATAGTTTTGCTACTTCCCGGTTGGTTCTTTGTTCTATAGACAAAAGGACATCCTTCCTAAACCTCTCCCAGGTGCAGCCCATTCACCTAGGCATCTCGTGTCTTTCTGCAAACCTGGCTCAGGAAGCCAACACAGCGGGACTCCTCCCAAGCCTTTTGACCTTCCTTCTCACCTTCCCCCAACTGAACTCAGGTGCTATAAATACGTTAATTGAGCCTGAGAAACCAAGTTGCGGGCCTGGGATTCGAACCTGCGAATTACAATGTGAAGGTGCCTGAATGTCTGGAAAATTACGTATGTTAGCTGTACCTTGTCTTAGTCCCTCCCAGCTTGGTGTGAAGCTCCTCCCCTAAATAAAACGGAGACGCAGACCGACCCAGGTGTGCATTACGGGCATGCATTAAGAGTGTGCATTACAGCTTGGAGGGCGTGCAATACGGCTGTCTAGGCATGCGTGGCTGACCAGCTAGCAAGGGGAACGTATTGCCCGCATAGCTAAGATGTTTACTATGCGGGATCTTACCGCCCTTACAGCTCAGACATTCACCATGCTGGATCTGCTGGACGCCAGTAATGCATCCACCCTGGTTTCGGGGTGTCTCTTTGTCTCTCTTGTTGTGTCTCTGTGTCTCTTTTGCTATCCCTATCGCCGTCAGATATCCCCTCCTCGTGAACCAAACACTCGTGTCGAGGCAGGTCCCCGACAATCTATGTCCTAAGCCCACTAGCACCTCTCCATACTACCCTCGGAAAGACAAAAATCCCAACTCACAGTGAGCTTACAGGACAGAGGAGAACTGCTCCATAGGTTTCCAAGGCTGTATATATTTATGCAAGCAGACTGCCTCATCTCTCTTCCTTGCAGTGACTGGCAGGTTCAAATCACTTTGGGTTAGTAGTCCCACACTTAACCCTCTGAGCCACCAGAATTCCTAGAGTGCAATATTTTGAACCACTGCACCAACCTTGACCCTTTATGTCTCTTCTTTCATTTTAAAGAACTCTTTTTAAGAAACAAAATCTCATATGGAAGAAATAAGTATCTGAAGTTAAAGATCTTTCTTTTAGTTCAAGTAAGATACAATGTAACCTTTTTATAAAAATGCAAATATGATTATCCATGAACATCGCTTTATAAATATGTTTGCTTTTCTTCCTTTGTACTATGATTTTTCAAAATTTTGACCATTAAGTGGAGTCCTGGTATGGCACTATAGGATAAGCACTGAACTGCTAACCATAAGGTTGGTGGTTCAAACCCACCAGTCATTCCATGGAAATCCTATATAGGGTTGCTATGAGTCAAAACCAACTCAATGGCATTTAACAACAACAGCAAGTTAGAATTAGAAAAAGAAAAAAAGAATGCTTTAAAAGACTAGACAAGTAACCATTTACTAGGGCAGCAACTTCTTTCCTATAATTCAAAGCCTCCATCCTTTCCAGGTTGTCAGTTTGCAAGTTTCTGGAACACTTCCCCTTTTGCCTAGGCCAAAGACTTGCTCTTTTCCTTCATGTTCCTGTCCCCCAGATAGTTTACTTGGTAGACTTTAACAAGAATCAACTTATGTAAACAAGGAACCCTGGTCCCATACTGAGTTACAAGGTGGGCTGCTAACTGCAAGGTCAGTAGTTTGATTCTACCAGCCACTCATAGGGAGAATGATAAGACTTTCTGCTCCTGTAAAGATTTAAACCTAGACCGCAAGGTTGGTTTGAACCTAAGGTTGGTAGTTCAACTTCACCAGCCGCTCCGTGAAAATCCTCTATAAGGCCACTATGAGTCAGAACTGACTTGACAGCACTTTAACAACACAATCTTATATAGTGTCGCTATGTAGTGCTGGAACCAAATCAACAGCCTACAACCACCAGCACCACCACTGAATGTAAACCAGAGCAGGGTGTTTCATTGGAGGAATGCTTGCCTTCTGAGCAAGACACCTGTGTTCAGTTCTCAGGTAAATGTATCTTACGCCCAGTCACTACATGCCTGTCGATGAAGACTTGCATGGTGTTAAATGGGTTTCATCAGAACATTCAGACTAAGACATACTAAGTTCTGAAAGACCAGTCAATGACAACTCTGGATCACAACAGTCTGATTCCATTGTGCATTGGGTCACCACGAGTTCAGGGGGAACTTGAGAGCAGTTAACAACAACACTTATGTAAGAAGTTATTTTAGAAAGACACTAGAATACTTGCTGAGAGATATGTGCAGTGCCTGTGAGCCTACCATTAGATCGTAACCTGAGCTATTTAGAGAGCCTCAAAGTTCTCAGATGGGGCCTGGCTAAGTGACATTTTTCAGAACAGAATTAAAGGCATCCAAGTTGGCAAAGAGGAAGTAAAACTCTCCCTATTTGGAGACGATATGATCCTATATGTAGAAAACCCCAAAGACTCAGTAAAAAAGCTACTAGACCTCATTGGAAGATTTAGCAAAGTGGCAGGGTATAAGATTAACATACAAAAATCAGTTGGATTCCTCTATACCAAAAATGACAGTGTTTAAAAGGACATTAG